ACGACCTTCCTCTGACAATGTGTCGAAAACCGACAAGGAATCCTCGAAGGTATCAGCATGGTCGCACCCTTATTGATCGCATGTTGGAGAACGTGAGTGGATTCTTATGAGAAAACATTATTGTAATGAAAAATCCTTCGAAGCAAACAACTGAAGGATGTGCAAGTCACTAAACGTGCACTCAAGCTAGTTTTCGAACTGTGAAGATATTACCTCTAATCATAAGGAAGTATTCGCTTCTCGTAAAACTGAGACGTTTCGCATGGCATGATGAGCTCAATAACCATGATGCGAAATTTAGAATCTTCGTGGTCTATCAGGTGACCTTCGCAGACTCAACGGTAATCCAGGTAGAAGCAACTACTCACTGCGAATACAGTTGATTGGATACAATGGAATACTAGAAGATGTAAGTTGTTCGCCACTCATTATCGCGCAGACCCAAAAGCTGCCCAGTTACGTTTTGGAGTTGCTGAAGCAGCTAGTCGTGAACAAGAAAGCCACGGCAATCGGCAACTACCAGTGCCCTCACACAAAACTATTGCATGCAGTGATTGCTTGTAGTTTTACATATCGGAGAGCGAAGGAGGCATCCCGGCGTTGGCCATCACAGCGCTTGCAGCTACGCCTTTTGGTCCCAGATATGAACTGTATATTCCTTGACAATGATGCGAGCAATTTCAAAGCGGTTGACCAGCCTAGATGGGATGCTCCTCTTCGGCAAGTTGGTTTTGTCCTTTGATCCGCACATTTTCTGTTGGATCCACAGCAAAGCGCAATGGGCCCTGCTATTTCAACTTTTTTTTGTGGTGTAGCTCATTATTGCTTCCGAAGACTTCTAATGAACATAATTTGAATGCAGATTGGCTTTTGGGAGCCGGCCACAGAAATTCATGTGAACATGAGCGGCGATTCGCGCGCACAACTTCAACGAAATGTTCAAGTGTCTGACGAACTCAAGCCGCATTTTCGCGTGACCACTATAATGGTGAGTTTACCAAATTTTCACCCACTTTCGCTACTCACGACCAGTGTGGTTTCTTTCTGAAGTACCACTGTAGCCTAATCTTTCAATTTCGTCCTTAATCTGTCTACAAGATCAAGGATGGTGAAAGGGGTGTGAAGAAACAACAATGATTTGGTGTACACTGCATTTCAGGCTCCGAAACTCAACTCGTTCTCAATTCTGTTCCAATCGAAGATTGCTAAACTCTGTAATAGCATTGCCTGCTCCCTTAATAACTGTAATCTGTAAATAAGGCTCTCCTTCGCAGCCCCCTCTCTTAAATTATACCATAACCATCCTTCCTATCACGGGACAAGTTTTGGAAATGATCCACTATTTATGTGACGACGTTCCTGAGCCACCGGTGGCTCATAAACTTCTCTCCAGTCACTTTATTTTATGGTTGCCGGCAGTCCCAATTGATCTTTTTCTTGCTTTTGAATAGCCTGTGAAAGGTGAGTGTCCAACAGGGATGAGCAAGAAAAATGTTGCTGCCTCCATAGGATATTTTGAATTAAAAATTGAAATTTTTCAACTAGCTACAGCTGCGGACAGAAACCTCCAAAATAGTTCCTTTTGGACGGAACCTTGGCTGCAGGGACAGCGCGGGGCTTCGATCATGAACATGAGATCATATTTGTCGTTGGCGCCATATGGCGCCAGCAGGTGCCATCTCGGCGCTAGCAGTACACCTAATGCGATAGAAACCTCCATAGCTAGGTTACTCAGCATGCTTGTCACGAGTATCGATTGTTTCCACGTTGAAGCCACCTGGTGCCTACGGCCCACTTTGGCGCCTGCGATTTTTTTTGACACCGACTATGGAGTGGCCGGCTATGTGTCGGTGTGGCCGTCTAGGAAATCATTATAATGTGTGAGAAGCAGAAAATTGCAAGAAAATTTTTAGAAACAGAGGTTAACGGCACAAATTTTGGAACTCACGATCGCGCTGAAGAGTGGGCGTGATCGCAGAGGACGATGGTATGAGATGGCATCCATAGGGTCATGGATGGTTGAAATAGCAGTCCCTGCACGACTGACTAATCATTTTGCGAAATTTGACATAGCGGCAAAAAAGTGGTCCACGAGGGACAATATGAGCCTATCGATACTCCCTCTACGTACACTCCTCACGTGACCGTCTCCAAGTGTGAATGTGTATCAAGTGAGTGGTCCTGCACTGCGCTACTGACTGATTGGTTCCCAGTTTCACCGGTAAGATGGCTGGGCCTTGAACAGAGAGGATACGCCATCAAGCGCAGATCGGCAGACCCACAAGCCGCAGAACAAGCTGCAAAGCAGGTGTTTTCATGCTCTTATTTGAAGCAATTCACTTAAGGACATGATCCGTTGGCATGCATACGGTAGCAACGTCACTTCTCATGCCTCACCTACGCCGAAGTCCTTCCGGAATGCCTCTTATTCTTAGAGACTCACTAGAAAAACTGGTCCCTGAAAATCTCTGGGAGAAGTTCGAAACAGCTCTTGTGACATGTTTTCTAACATCTTTGTCGCGAGATTGTTCAGCAATCATCAACTTTAGGAGCGGCCTTATGTGATGCTGAAGAAAAACCACTACGAATTGTATGGCAACATGAAGTTCGAAGGATTCTGTATTGATCTTCTAGCCGAGTTATCCAGAGATCTTGGTAAGATTTTACTTTTCGCGTTTCTCTGCTTTTTTGGAGACACGATGAAAGTTGCTTATCTTATTCCAACGAGCAGTCCCATAATAGCGTTGGGGCGCGCTCTGCCACGTACCGACGATCGCGGCAATCGCCGAGGTCGCCGCGATCGCCGCTGCTGTCGCGAAGTATGAACGCTGCCTAAGAGGCTCGCTCAGGAGTGAAGGCAGCTTTTCTGTATCCACCGTGTTTAGCAAAAGGCCGTGTTGAGTGATGGCAGCGTCAGTTTACTAGGAGTAAGCTGTGGACTAGCTAGCTTCTCGGAGACCGACCTCAAAGGCGTAACTGCCTGCTTCAGCCTGATTGTGTGAATGATTCAGGCAGTATGAGTTATGAAGTTGCTATGATGCTGTTCTCCTCTTATAAAATTCCTTGGCTAACCCCAGTGAGAGAGTTTTGTTCATGCTCGGCAGCACTGCTTTCTTCTATTTCGATCAGGATTACGGTTAAATACTGGCTTTTCATGATTCACTTACGCAATTCATGCGGTTGCTGATGGCAAATATGGCAACGATGTGTATGGGAACGGCTCTTGGGACGGAATGATTGGCGAGATACTCAGAGGGGTAAGTGGTTCAGTTCCATGTGATCATTACAGATCACTTCTTCTTGTTTATAGGATGCGGAGATGGCCGTAGCACCACTAACTGTGAACTTCCGCCGTTCAGAAGTGGTTTCCTTTTACAAAGCCTTTTCTTTCGCTTGGGATCAGCATATTGTACAAGGTTTCGGCGTTTTTGCTCACTCCTTTCTTGTTCCATCTTGGCGTCGCTGTTTCAAACCTGTGCTTATTATGTTCCATTCAGGTGCCAGACGACCACCAACCTGATCTATTTTCATTCCTCAATCCCCTCTCATGGCAGATTTGGCTAGCTATTCTAGCAGCGATCGGTGAGCTCTCCCGTGGTTATTATATTATCGACAACTAATCAGAAATGGCGGATGACTACCTTCTTCCCACACCATTGGAGAGTCATAGACCATGGAAATAGCAGAGATGGAAAAGCTGCAAAAAGAATAAGATACTTTGGACTGTCTTTATTTCGATAGAGAAATGGAGAATTCATACCTTAGCACCACTGAAATGTCGTTCTGTTTTTTCCTTTTCCTGACCCTCTATTCAACCTTCCAATTTTTTGATTCTCCGGTTCTCCGAAACCTGAGATGAAAGCGGTCAAAAGTACGGTATTGCTTCGCTGCTGATGGGGCGTGTCTCCAAGGCTGGGTCTGGTGCACCGTTAGCCCGGTCTCCACCAGTTGTTGAAGCTGGTAAGCGACATTAACTTGTGGGAAAGAACTGATACGAACGATATGATACAGTCTTGTCGACTGTCGAAAGAAAAAAAAAGAAAATAAAAGGGCTGAGCCGCGCTGAACCCATCACCCTGACACGGCCCATCACCTACGGGAGCAAGACTGTAAATTTTGACCATACACTCAAAAGGAAGAGAAACGTATTTGGTGGCACGAAAAGTCCTGCGACAGTACGATCAAAGCATCTTCAAAAAGAGCTTAGAAGTTTTTCGATTTTCTGAACTTTGCGTTCTGCGGAGATTATTGCAGACGAGTACACAACGAATTCAAGAAACTTCAATCCTGGATCCAGCCATTGTCTCACCATTGTTTCATTGCCCATTTCTGAGCACGTGTTCATTACAGCATGTGTAACATTGGGAATGTACACGGTATCGCGAGTGACGCCATACGAGTGGAACTTGAACTTCTCGTGTTGCACGGCTCATCAGCCTCATCCTGGTGCCGCCTTTGTGAATTCACCTGTGGAACTTTCCAATAACTACAGCTTTTGGAACACATTATGGTGCGTTCATGTTTTAGAGGCATCTTTAAAGTAGACTGTGCAGCAAGTGCTGTGAAATGAATTGCACTTCTAAGCGAAAAAGTTCTATTTCAGCTAATTTGCCGTTTATTCATCAGGCGCCCGTCTTGTTTGCTGCGAACGCTGAATGATGTCAAGGGTGGACTTGCAGCGGCTCCAGCCGGTTCCCCACCAACTGTGAAAGCTGGCAGGCGACTTGTAACTGGTGGAAAACTGGTCCCCTGGCACCCGCGCCATATCCAGCCGCCTGCCCCTACTGCACGCAACCCAGCCGTCTACGCCAGACAAAGAAAGACCGAACTGTCCTGCTTTTAAGATATCACGCAGACAAATCCCGAGTGGCGTTATTTACATTTTACGCGTGTCGACTTACTCCTTGAGGAGCGTGCTTTGCTTTGTGGGTCCGGTACCCAAGAATTTCTCCGATTTCGCTCACCTGAAAGGAAGTTTCATTATGTTCCCGGAGAACTGATCTTTGTGTGAAGTTCCACATTCGGGCTGCAACCAGGGCACGCCATCGCGTTGTGATCATTTCCTAGAAAATACGACGCCCCTTAATTTATCCTCGAATGCACTGCGACCCCCCTCCCCATGCTACCTACCACTTTCCCAGATTTTCCCAACTTCCTACCACTTTTTCCATTTTTTCCCGAAAAATTTTTTTCAGCCAAGAATTTTCCGTCGAGCGGGGAGGGGGAGGGGAGGGGAGGTCGTCAGGATTAACTATCTCTTTTCATTTTCAACTATCGGAAATAGTAGTTGTATAGATCTTTGGCAGTCCCTCTCCCAACAACGACCAAATACGACCCCCTCCCTCGCAGTCAAATACGACCCCCCGTTGTGATCATCACAACGGTGGCGTGCCCTAGCTGCAACAATCGTAGTTAGGCAGTAGTGCGCAGAAAGGGAATCAGACAGTTGGATGGCGAATACGTTGAAATAGCCTATTTACTTGAAGGTACGTGACAAGCACCATGCTGAAGGGAGGATGCGATTTTGGTCCCCGAGCCGTGTCAACCAGACTTCTGGGAGGTACGAGTTTGACTTATTATTATTCAGCGATCGGATCTGAAGGGAAGGCTTTGAGGCATGCCTGGTAGCTTTTTTTATTGAAGGAGCTTCTCTCCCCATCCCGGTTACCTCAGTCAAAGAATGCCAAAGCTCAAACCTTTTGGATTTTTTCGGCAGAGGAGGACATCACCTTGGTACTGTGAAAGCTCTCGCATCTTCTTCACTGTGAGCGGGGACGAATCACAATCCTTCGCCTTTTCGCGTATGTCCACAGTTACTACTATCGCACTCAGTGTGGCGGCAACATTAAGAGTAATAGGTACTCTCGCGGTGTTTCCTTTATGGTTGTTTTCGTCTACACTCAAAGGCGAGAAAAGCTCATAACCGTAAATCAGGCGTTTCCAGGGTAACAGAGGTCACTTTCCCTGAGAGAGGACGTTCATATTTTTTTTGTGGCTCTTATGTTGTCTATAAGACTCCCCCTTCACTGTGAGGGCGGGGGGGGGAACCACAGTCCCTCGCCTTCTCACCAATGTCCACAGTTGATACTATCACACTCAGGGGGGGGGGAGGCGGTTACACTCTAGATGGATAGAATGAGGACTCTCGCGGCTTCTCCACTATTGGGTGTTTTCTTCCTGAATCGCTCTCACATCTAAAGGTGGGCTCGCTACGCCCCTCATAATTGTGACCTTTCTGACTGTAAATCAGGCATTTCTAGGCCAGT